GTTTCCTCCCAGGAGCAGAATGGATTTTGTGTTGTGCACCGGTACTGAGTTCATGTGGCTTGTTTTGATGTGCCACTGTGGCACCCAAATTATTAATAAATCTCTTATAAATCATTAAGGGGAGGGGAGCTCAGGGCTGTACCCAACCCCTGCCCCACCGCCAGCGCTACCTCCTGCCGGTTGGTTGATCTTCCCCAGCAAGCCCTGCTGCACCCCCCGCCAGCTCTGCCTCCGGCGGCAAGTTCTCCCCTTCTCCTGAGCTCCCCTGGCCAGCCCTCAGATCTGCCCGGAGTGTGAGACGTGGGAACTCTGGCAGGAATTTGAAGGGCTCCTGCTGCCACAGAGATGGCAACCCCTTTGAATCACCACACCCCAGGACAATTACCCTTTTGGTGCTCCCGAGAGTGGGCCTGGCATCCGCACATTGAACGATTCTTGTAATTATAGTTATTTCCTATCTGGTTTATATAAATTATTATCTTCAAGGGAGCATGTAAAAATGTAGATGTGGGCCCTACGTCAGCACAGAACGTGAGCATATTCTTAAATGTTGTGATGAATAGGAACTTACTTAACCATATGCACTAAGCTGCTTTGCTGAATCAGTAAATGCCCTGGATACCATTACTTCAGCAGCAACAGTTCCCAACAAAGACCTGAAAAGAGTCGAATGTAAATATACTTGTAAATCATATTGCTCCAAAGCAATTAGGCTGTAGCTGCTATAGGAAAAAGAAAATCTCTGTCTAGTTCAGCTCAGCTCTGCCAGCAGGGCTAGTGTGGGGGGGTGAGGCCCCCATCACAGCGATGCTCTGGGGATGGAGAACGCGTGGGGGGGCTGGCAGATGGGGGTCGGGGCCTGCTCCAGGTAGGGCCGTGGGGGAGAGACCCAGCTCCAAATATTGCTGGACCAGGGCCCCCGGCTTTGGATATTGCTGGAGCCAAGGCATCACAAGCCCATATAACTCGCTGCCCATGCAGACAGACACTCAATTGGTGGGACTGCAGTTGTGCAGACAGTTTTGAATCAGACCTTGAAATAGGAGAGGTTACTTATCTTGTATAGTAATTGGAGTTTTTCAAGATACCTGTCCCTGTTGTGTTCCACTACCCACCTTTTCTTCCTGTCCATTTGGAGTCTTTTCTTGGTGGGACTTAGTGATAGAGAAGGAACTGCTAAGAATGGTTTGCTTATATACATGTAAGAGGATAGCTAGAATGTATATGCAGGATCAAACAGGCATTGGTGCTAAAAGCTCCCAGTCGAAGGTGCACAGGCCTCATGTGTACCTGAAGTGGTGCACCCACAGAGACAAACATTTTTGAGTCCGGTTACTATAAAGGGTAAATAACTTCTCCTCTGAGTTTTCATTTATAATGTATTAGGCTGTCTACTCACAGGTGTTTCCAGCCCTCAGTGCATAGCAGTGATGTGATTCTTTTGTGCATGCAACCCAGAATCAATACCTTCATGTTTGCCACCATATCACTGTGAAATATAATATATATAATGCACTGTGTTTTGTTCTCTACAGGTTTGTTATGCAATCATAGCTTTCCAAGTACTTTATTCTTACATGTTTAATATTATTTTTCCTCTAGCTATATTGGCATAGTATTGTTCAGTTTTGTTTTAAAGTAATACTAAATTTCTGTTGCCCAGTTTGTAAAAGACACAGACAATGAGGTTCGCATGCGACTGCTGCAATTTGTCACTGGTACTTGCCGGTTACCACTGGGGGGTTTTGCTGAGCTTATGGGTAAGTATGTCAATAAAGTATACTCCTGCAATCTCCAGATCCTATGTTTATTCTGAGCATGTGACAATCTTTTGCTCGTTTCTTAATCCTTCATTTCATCTAGCATTAACATACATTAATAAGTACACTAACTACACTACTATCGGTTTAAAAACATTTAAATGTAATCTATTATCTTGATTCAGGAAGTAATGGTCCTCAGAAATTTTGTATTGAAAAAGTTGGAAAGGAGACCTGGTTACCAAGAAGTCATACTTGGTAAGTTTTAATATTGAAACAATGAATAAATGTAAACTGACATTGTATCTGCTGTTCTTCTTCATTAGTTTAAGACCACGTCCCTTGTACCTATGATACTGTTGATTCCATAGTAAGCTAATTTGGGTTACTTGCATCAGCCTGTAATTTCTCTCCCTGATTCCCATCTGTTGCTTGATTTAGAGTGACTTTCCCACTACTGAAAATGTCTCTTCCATTGTTGTTCATTTGATTTGTATGATCTGTATTTGTATTATTTTGGGTACTGTTAAGATACTTTAGAGTTATAAGATAAAACCCTTTATTTTACTCTGTGTCCCTCACCCCCAAGTTATTTTTGCTTCCAAGAGCAAGCCATTGTTTCTGCTAAAGAGCTAAGTTAGTATTCGAGCCAGTTGTTATGATATTTCATCATAGGGTAATGTTTTGAATACGTCTGTGCAAAATACTATCAAGACCCTCTTAAAGTGATTGGAACAAGCACACATACTCAGAACTTCAAATGGCATCCTAGGATCTGGATGCTTTCCTCAGTCTTCGCTGTCTTACCCCATGCAGACTCAGGTTCCCTGTACCTGTTACACTTCTATGGTAGGAGAGTAACTGTTTCTTCTTCTGGCATATTGGTGAGAACATATCTACCTTTTTTGTTCCTTGTTGCAAGCTCCCCCATCCTGTTTTTCTGCATATGGAGTTATTTCTTTGAATGGGTCTTTAGCCACTCATGGTAGCCAACAGGCCCTTGAAGTATAAGAATTGGGTTGGACCAAATGTTCATCTAGCCCAATGGCCTGTCTGCCAACAGTGGCCAATGCCAGGTGCCCTAGAGCAAGTGAACAGAACTGGTAATCATCAAGTGATTCCTCTCCGTTTCCAGTCTGTGATAAACAGAGGCTAGGGACACCATTCATACCCATCTTGGCTCATAGCCATTGATTGACCTAACCTCCATGAATGTATCTATTTCTTTTTTGAACCCTGTTAAAGTCCTGGTCTTCACAACCACCTGTGGCAAGGAGTTCCACAGGTTGACTATGTATGGCAGAAGAAGTGGACTTAGCATGGCCAGCAATTTCAGAAGTAAGAATTTCAGAAGAAGTGTTTCCAGGTGTAATTGCCCCTGGAAATGGAATTTCCCCACTCATGCCAGAATTAATAATAGGTATCTCAGATGAAGACATTGGCTTTTCATAACATGTTTTACATGGCTCTGTTAGAGTCCCCTTATGATCTTGCTTTTTCTACTCCAAAGATCAGAGCAAGGCCATGTCTAACAGTAAGAGGTCAAGAGTCATATAATCCCAGTGTTGTAGCTATGTCAACATAACCCCATACTGTAGACATAACCCAGAGACAGAAGGATTTGTTCCTCCAGGAACACCACTTCCCTGAGCAATGGCAGCTAGGTCAACAGAAGCATTCTCTTGATTTAGCTGCATCTGTAACAGGCTGAGTCAGCACAGTGATGGCATGTGGGATTTTCAGTGCAAGTAGGCTTAAGACTCACCCATTTTACTTCTCAGACATGATTATCTCAGAAACATTCGAGTGAACCTTTTCTCACCAAAAAATGAGACTCCTTCACATAGTCTGCACAAGAGTTATGCATATTTCTACTGCACAGTAAAAATGGGCACATGGTTGTAATTACACATATTTTCTTATAAACTTTTCTGTGTGTTATTCTACACGAAATAGGATGTATTTGATCAGATTATAGTTTCTCTATTGAACTTTAGGGTGAAATGAGGATTAGCTAAATATAATTTCAGACTTTGCAAAAGGTCTGAATAAAAAGCTTTTTTAGACTCTTTAAATTCTGTGTGTATAATTTAGCTCTCAAAAGAATCCCTTGTGACTAAATCTTTCCAAGAAGAATAGTTCTCTGAGTGTAAACTGTACTCTAAATATATTCAGACACTTCCAGTAACCAAACTAGAGTTTTATGCACCTGATCCACATACGCTTTTTAAAGCTCAAGAAAATTTTGGATGAAGTACAATCATTGCATATGTAGCTGTTTGATATAAGCATCTGAAAACACTTAAAATGAATAGTGCCTAGTAAAGCAGCTTGTAGATGACTTGCCCAATTAGTACACTGACATCGAAACTCCTGATTCCCTCCCATTCCTGTGTTCACACCCATAAACCTGAGTATATAAAATTTCTAACAGTTTACTTTGGCAATATGCTTAAAAAGCAAAATTGTATCTACAATATTCTAAGTGGATTTAGACAAATTTATAAAACTTTTCTTTTCCCTCCTTTCTCCCCTTCTCTTCTTTTTTTTCCAGTTTTAATCGTTTGGATCTGCCCCCATATAAAAGCTATGAACAGCTAAAAGAGAAGCTGCTCTTTGCAATTGAAGAAACGGAGGGATTTGGTCAAGAGTAGAAGTGGCTTCTTGTCAAAAATGATATATTGCATTATTAAATGGCCCAGCCATCTAAAATTGCACACTTAGTTGTATATAAGCTGTTTGTTCTGTACAGTAATGTTTCTGGAACTCTAAAGTATAAATGTTTTCAGTTCTTCCACAGAGATATGCAAAACAGTTCAGCCGTGTCTAGTTTATTTATTGCCCATTCAATAGACTGACCAGGGATAAACAAAACATAAATTTTGAAAGCAGACAAGACTTTATTTAAAAATATATTAAATATGTGTGTGTACACACAGGAGGTCACACATTCTCTCTCTCTCTCTCTCTCTGTAGTGGGCTCTAGTTTTATAGAGCTTTAAGTGTATGAAACATAGCAGTAATTCTAAAGGACCTGGGGATTTGCTTTATCTTGGCTTTATTATACAGAAAAATGTGTAAACTGCTCTGTGTTCTCACTTTATGCAACATCTCCAAGATTGTTTTATTGCATGGCTGTTCTAAAAGGTGTTAAAAGCTTAGGCCAAATGTATCCTAAGTATGTAGAAAAATGCTGCTCGCTTTTTGGGATGACAGAGTGCCAAATTCTGTCAGTTCAGGTTTTTTTTTTTTTTTTTTAAATACATACAAGAGCTGATATCCTCACTACTACACTGATGTAGCCAAGGTCATGAGTAAAACCTTGATTACTTGCACAAGAGTCATGTACAGTAAGATGAATGTGATTAATATTAAAAGCAATTGGTGCCACTCTTCTGACGTATTGTAGGAACTGAACAGAACATTTTAATTCATGAGCAGCATTGAAATTTGTTTACATAATATCTTGGGTTATTACCAAGACGATGTTAGGTAATCTTTAAAGAATAAAAGAGAAACTCTTAACACATTCTCTCTTGGTCTGGTGTCTTACAGGTTTTTTTTAAATCTGTGTATTTTACAATTTCATGATGTAAACTAATGTAATTTGAGATTTAAGAATACATGAAAGGTAATGTGAATTTCTGCTGCTTTTATGTTCAGTTTTGTTTATGGATCTAGAGAACCCAAATGGAACAACAGTTACATAAGCTTTGCACATTAAACTAATAATTTTCTATTAAATATTTTCATCCCTTTTAAGTTCATGTAAAAATTCAGGTGTATCTGAATGAAATAAATATGCCTATATCTTGTCAATCTTTTTCATAGGCAAAAGTTTTTTGTCCTAAATGCACAGTAACATAAAATGATTTATTTTTTCCAGTATTGGGGACATTTGCTGAACTGCAAAGATGTAACAAATTATAAAATCTTACTGATGTGAATTATATTAAATGCTACTTTTAGCAAACAGTGCTTCCTTATTATAGAGTAAGAACATTTTAAAAAGTACCATTTGTATCATGCTTTCAATATTCACTGTAAATTCCATTAAATTTAACTTATACATAATTTTGTACACACAACTGATTTTAGAATGTGATTAAAACATTTCTGTAACATATCTATCATATTGCACTGTTAAAAGCGTAAATGCAGAAAAATATTGCTATATCTGTTCTTGTATGTTATCAATATAGCAATTCTACCAAAATTTTATTTTTCTATATATTGGATTGTGTTATGCTTTGTCATTCAAAATGCACAATTTACTGGGAAGCTGTTAACTTGTAAATGGCTTTGATAAAAGCTGTGATCTGATTGGCTTAATGTTCTTCTATCATATTATTTACTATGCCTAAATGCATCAATATTTTTTCACCACTTTAATTACTCTGCCATGCTGCTCAAAGTAACTGAGCTACTTTCATGAATGATATGGTACATTAAATTAAATGGTTGAGTTCACTGTAATTATTGATTTATCCAATTAAATTGAAGAGAAAAACTATTGGAGAACTAAGTATATATGGTTTGCCTAAATGATGTCTAAAAGCTAACTACTGTATAGTAAAGTTGAGCCTTATTTATTTACCCTAAAGAATACTCTGACCTACTGCAAATTCTGAATCCAAAGAATCTATAAGTGAAGATGACATTAAAAAGCAAAGACAGCACATCACAAAATGTACCTTTTTTATTACTTTGACAGTGGTATTACTCTAAGCCAATAATCTTCACTGAAGAAGAGAATAAGCCTCCACCAAGATTACACATAATAGGGATGATTGATAAGACATCAAGGCCTCCCTTCTCCCAACCAAATGTGATAATTTATCATAGTAAAAAAAGGAGTAAAGACAAATGTTGACCACCTCCAAGAACAAGTTCAGTTTAAAAACACCATTACCGGAAAGCCTTTAGCCAGTATAAGAGCAGGCACTCAGGTAGTATTATTTGAAGGCAACTTATAAAGAATAGATTTAGATATCATGAGCTTTCGTGAGTGCAACTCACTTCTTCAGTTTGGCAAAAGCACCATTCAGTGTGCTTAGAGCTCAATTGTCCTGCATTATGCAGTACTGTGTAGGAGGCAGGAGATTAAATTTGGAAGAGGACCTGTGAGAAAAGAAAAGCTGCCAAAAGATTTCAAGCAGAGGAGAAAGGAAACAATAGAATCAATGTGACTTTCTGCAAATCGTTCTGATCCTTTTTTTTCCTTCCTGTGAAAATATCAACCTTCCTTTCTGTGCCAGCAAACTCCTGTTGGCATCTTGGTCACTCTTTTCCTCTCAGATCCCTATGCTTCTTGGTGGGGTGAGGAAGAGTTACAAGTAGACAAGAGGCTCTAGGAAGCAGGACCATGATCACCTGGGAGGGTCCTACCAGCAGTAAGTAAGAGGGACCTTAGCAATTGTGTACAAATAGCCAGGAAGACTGAATATATGAATAGTATTAGAATATTTCTTTAATCGATTTAGCATTATCATCTCTAAAACCTTCAGCACCTGGTGAAGGATTCTCCTACACCTTGGCCCCAAACAATCATTATATGTAATATTTGATGTTTCCCTATGACAATTAGTTGAATAAAACCCTCTTTGGATTAGAGTCCTACTATCAGAGAACATCCTTTAATGGGTTTTCCAACCTGTGGCTGTGCCTAGAGCAGCAATGTGCAACCTGTGAATCACAACCCCCTTGGGAGTCACCGTCATCTTCCTGGGGGTTGTAGTGCTGGGCTGTGTGCCACTTTGTTTTCCTGGCTCAGTGCCTGACAGGGGCAGGGGGGAATGGCAGGTGCTTTAAATTAAAGGGGCAGCAACAAAGTGTTTCCCATGTGCTTTTTTTTTTTTTTTTTTTTGTGGCTCAACCAAAATTTTCCCAGCCCTGGGCACTACTGGCCTAGAGGATAGAGCACTGACCTGGGCCTCAAGGAAGCTGGGTTCTGTTCCTGGACGACCTTGAGCAAGTCACTTTCCCTCTTTCCTCAGCATCCCCACCTGTAATCTAGGGATAATCATACTACTTTTGTATCAAGTAGCTGACAGTAGCTTTATTAAAAATACAGTTGAATGGTCACATTAATTTTAATAACAGCCGAGTATTTTGGCTTGTGCTTCAGTCACAGTAATATTTCTTCTTAATAGTTTAACTCATATAGAATTGAGTAGTTCCACAGCTTCTTTTTGTACCTAAAATTTAAAAAAATGAACATTATTTACAGGTTTTTCTATAGCCCTTGTGCTTATATTATCCAAGGGTATGTTTACGCTACAGTGTATTTTGAAATAACACATCTATACACAAAATGCATTTCGAAATAGCGCATCCGCACTGAATGGACTCTGAATCACATTTAAGGCCGGCCGGAACCAGGTCCAGCAGGGCACCAGGTCAGGATTTACTGTGTGGGGCTACTGCCTGAGGCTATCTGAGGTCTGTACTTAAAGGGACCCCCACCTCATCTGGACAGCCAGTTCTCAGATTTCCCTGCTTGCTTGTCTACCTCGATGAGGGACAGCAAAGCATTTTTTCTCTGTGTGCTCTGTTTGCCCTCACTTGGGACACCACAGCACTCGGCAACATGGAGCTGGAGCTGCCCCTGGGCACTCTGGTGCTTCTCTTGGACACGTTGCTGCAAGCTTGGCTGCACTTTCTGCAGGCTACCATCCAGGAGGTCCATCGGGGGGGCTATCGCTATCTAGGAGGCCCTGCGGGAGAGCTTCCACCCTGAGGAGCACTAAGAGCCTCTCTGGTCTGCCTCACTGGGGGCTTGTACCTCATTCCTCCCTCACATCCTTCCACTTACCCCTTCCTGATGTCAAATAAAATACATATATTTTCATGAACACAAACTCTTCTTTATTTAACAAAATTGGGGGGGGAGGGAATGAAACTCAGGTGAGACTGGGGAAAGGAGGTGGGTGAGGGGAGAAGAGAGGGTGGAAAAGGGGAGGGGGAAACCTGGGAGGAGGGAGCTGAAAGGGGGAAGCATGGGGAAGAAAGGGGGGGGGAAGATTAGGGTTGGGGGGTCTTCCCGGACCAACTTCATTGTCATACAAATCTGCTCCTGGGTTCGCATGTGGATTTTGGTGGCCAGGCTGGCAGCTATCCTGCACTAGATGGCCGTGTTCCTCCGTCTAGTGCAGAGATCATGTACGCTGGGGGTATCCCCCCCAAACCTGAATAAAGTCCATAATCTCCACCCTGAACCAGGAAGGCGCCTGCCTTCTCTGGGCCCTAGCAGGCTCCTAGGAGCTGGCAGACTGCTCCTGGGAAGCGGTGGAGGGCTGGCTGCCGGTGGCTTGCTGGCTCATGTTTTGCAGCCACTGGGTCAGGGGCAGTGACTGCTGGCTCTGGGCTGGCAGGCTTGGAGCTGGCACTGTGACCAGAGTCTACACCTTTAAGGGCTCTGGGGATGGGGGGGGAAGGAGAGAAGTGTTTTTGGTTGAGGCCAGAGTGGCCACCGGGGTACCCTGGGAAGGCTGAAGGCCCCCTCTTTCGATATAAGTGTCCACACAGCACTTATTTCAAAATAGCTATTTCGAATGTGGCATTATTCCTCATGGAATGAGGTTTACCAAATTTGAAATAAGCGCTCTGCAGTTTGGCTGTGTAGACGCTAGGAAAGTTATTTCGATATAAGGGCTGTCATTTCGAAATAACTTTGCTGTTTAGACATACCCCAAGTGCTTAAAATTTGTCTTACAAGGGAATTATGATATCAAAGATGTAGAAGAAACCAGGCTATAGAAGTTGAGTGTTTTACTAAATATTGTACAGAACCCTCATAGCACAACCAGGATTCAATCTCTGCTAATTCCTGGCCTAATTGCTTAACTGCAGTACTTACCCTCCCTAAACAGACATTTACTACACACAGTAACTCTCTCCACTAGAAGTGAACTGCACAATAGCAGAAACAGCACTTTTAGGAACCACACTAAAAACAGCACCAAGTGGATCTGTTATCCTATCACTGATAGTAACTAAATCAGATGTTTCAGAACCAAACAAACAGCTAACAAGCCAGTATTTGAGGTCAGCAGTTTTTCTAGGATTTATAGCTTGCCACTCCCTCATTTAATACTTTAATAATCCTGGCCATGAGAAGCCAGACTTATGATGGTAGTTGCTTAATACATGGTCATGTGGCAATTTGTTGCACACTATGGACTAGGGATGTTAGAGTGTAACTGAATAGTCATATAACCACGTCAAGTTTAGTAGTTTCATGACTATTTGATAGTCCCTGGGGCGGGGCCAGCAGCAAGTGCGCTCCCAGCCCCACTCCTGGGGAACTCCCTGCCACCCCACGCTACTGCCTCGCCAGCAGAAGTGCAGGATGGCAGGTGGGAACCAGTCCATAAGGGGAGCCAGTTTAAAAATTAGCTTCCTGTGCAGACCAACTCCCACCTGCTGCCACATGCTGCTGCCTCTGATACAGAAGCAGTAGCATGGGGTGGCAGAGCCCCTGACCAGGTGGAGTCCCTCAATGAAACCCCTCCATGGACAAAGGCTTCTTCGTGGCAGCCTCCCGTCTCCTCCCCCTCACCTCCTGCTGCTGCCTCTGACATTTCAGTAATGTCAGTTCTTCCTCAGATTTGATATGCAGGCAACAGATCCTAAGAGCCATGACTCCAAAGAGACAAATAAGTTTACCTTGTCACAATAGGCTCTCCCTCCAAATACCAGGCTAACTGCTAAACAGGATTCATATCAAGAGACTCAGAGCCTCCAGCAGAAATGGAAATTTGTTCCTTGCTTATAAATTAGTTTTCTGCACGAGGTTCCCTGTTCAAACTTCCTAGCTAAGTTGTTCTGTATTTAATCCTGTTTGCACAGTTAAGTGATTGTAGCATTACAGTACTCACTAGTTTTTGAGGGGTGGAAGGGTAAGGACATTTGTGTTTTTAAAGAAGGGTTTGCCTGGAGCCCCGAGGAGATAATCCTGTTATCAAAATTGCATACAGCACTTGATACCTACTGTTAGTACATTATTTGACAGGAACTCTTGAATACCAGTGTTTCTCCAGCGACAACATAACTGGGTATCCATAAAAGGACAGTAATTTAGATTGGACAATTGTTAATACCACAAAAACTCATGTAAAGAGTCAATTACTTTTTCATATTAATAGATTACTGTGTCCAAGAAGCAAAGATTCAGAGAAATATGGTTACTAACACATTAAGATTTGTTCATACCCAGATGGGATCCAAAGCAGTTCCAGAAATCAAATTAAATCTTATTTGAACAGATGTTCAGCCACTGAAGTACCATACATGTTTTTTCCACATACTTACATTATGACAGTTCTTAAATTATTTTTCCTACCTGTTTATCCTCCTCTGTATGTGCTGGATAATCTTTGGCTTTTGTTAGCCACAAAAGAGCCATCTTTTTGTTGTTTAACTTCATGTATGTCTTCCCTAAAAGCAGCAAATTTTTGCTGTAGAAGTTTGGATCAGCTATACAAAATGACAGAAGAGGGAAAGATATTTTTGCCTCATTTATTATACTGATTTTAGACAAAAAACAACTGTCCCCCGCTTTGAGACATTTTTCCAGCTTTAAATAAGAACTGTCGTGAGGAGGGTATACAAGCCAAACCACTAAATATTGTGACTTGATGAAACATTTACACTTGCAAGATACTTAATGTAGTTACATTTTTTGGCTCAAAGAAGAGCCAGCCCTTAACATGAACAAATGTAAATACTTCACTTACCGTGCTGGGCCCTGCATACTGTGGTGCCCAACAGACCCAAATTCTGCAGCCATCTCAGTTAATTATCATTAATATGGAAATTAATTTTGCTACCGGACTACAGGAAATGAAAAGTCTACAGCCAGCATCAGTGGCTCCTCTTCCTATGCCCTAATGCTGCAATGCTCTCCAGGTGTGCGCCTACAGCACACTCAACATGTGCCAGGGAAAAAAGGAACTTATACAGGTTGAACTTCTCTAGTCCAGCACACACTGGTCTGGCAACATCCATGGCCCAGCATGATTTTAGTCAGCTAGATGTCCACTTAACATGGGTGTGGCCAAGTTTCCCACAGTCCCATAAAGTTTGTTTACAACCACCAGTCCTGGCTCTCAGTGTTCTGTGCTGTTATTTAGCTCTTACCCCTAAATGTCTTCTCAGAGCCCAGTAAGCAGTAGAAGTGTTGATAATGCTGCTAGACACTATTGACCTCCCGTGGTTCATCTAGTTTGGCACCAGTCAGGTCCCAAGGGTGCCGGACTAGAGAGGTTCAACCTATACCTATTTTCACTAACACTTTCTCCTCCGCTCTAGGAGCCATGGATGAGAGCTGCACGTAGATAACGCTGATGCTGCTAACACCTGAGGAGGGGAGAAAAATTTGATATCATCGAAGAAAGTACAGAGGGTCTCTGTTTTCAGAAAAAGGAAACAAAAATACTCCTCCCACCCCGTAAGACAGGATTTTTATCTGGTCAAACGCTCTTAAAGGTCTGTCCGCTCTGTGCAGTGTTTCTGTTTTGGCCACAGATTTTAGAACATAAGCTTTCTGGGCAGAAAGTGATTTCTCATTAGGACTGTTGCTACATTTCAAAGGCAAAAGCGCTATGGGGAGCATGGGGCCAGCGGGGCACTGCTTGATCCTGGGCTCCACGCGGCGTTGCCACTTTGAAATGCCGTGTGCAGCCTGAGGCCAGATGGGAGCTCCAGCTCTTCACAGAAGCCCTCAGCAACAAAGCTGCTGGTGACCTCTCTATTATCTTTCTGCTTGCTACCTCCTCTAGGGCTGCAGCCAGGGAAGGCATGTCAACAGAATGCTTAATAAGAGGCATCACTGTCATCAAAATCCAAACCCTATTAACAATAAAGCCAATGCAAGGGAACTGGTACTCAGCTAAGTGTTACCATTAACCAGAAGTTGTTAATATTCAGATTGCTAGTAGGAGGCATCCATTTATGCACCTTTCCTCCCAGGGACAAACATCACTTCATAAAATGGGGAAATAGGTAGAAATCACAGTAAATCACAGCAGGGCTAGGAATAGAACTAGGATGTTCTACTTCAGTCTCCTGTTCCAGCCATCAGGCTACCTGCCTTATTCTTTATCTTCTTTACTATATATTTTAGAAATGTGCATCTGACTGTGAGTCTCTTTGTTCAAAAACTCCTCCTGAATGGTAAGAGCTAGGATCACCAAATTTCGGTTACAGCTTCCTCTTATCATAACTTAAAGCAAGATAAGGGTTTGGTTGTGCCAAAGACAGTGGGATGTGCCAGGAATTCTATTGTTTCTTATAAAAAGGTAATGAAAAAAGGGAGGGATCTTTTAGGAGGGACAGTTTTACTGTAGAATGACCACAGGGAGGCAGTAACTATATCCTCAACAACTATATTCCCAGTGGGCCAGCAGGGGGCAGAGGTGGAGAATTGGACAGCTATCTACTATATACTTCAGAGAGTTTGTCTGTTTGTGCACCTGTTTGTGTCTGTCCCCTAGCTGGGGGATGTGCACCACTTTCCCAGCCCCAAAGTGCTGTGGTGAGAGAAGGTTGGGGTTGTCTTCTCTCCCCAAGACAGTCTGAATACTGAACCCCTCATCCCTAGCCCCACCCCAGAAGAATTATGTAAATGATGAAAAACAAAACATTTGAGTTAAGGACCTGAGCAATGCCAGCTAAATCTTCTAGTATACACATATGCTAGATTCAGTATACAACCCTACGTTTGAAGCACTGCTATTCTGAAAATGTGGAGTGTCCTGCATACATGATGTGTTCAATGAATTGGGATACTCCAACATGACAGCTTTTATCGTCATAAAATGAAGAAACTGAATTGCTAGGGTTTGAGATTTTCTACTATTGCATTTATAGCTGTTAGTGGCAGCCTTGCTGCCACATTCTGCTCTTATCCATGCAGTCACACAGTCTGTGACTATAATGGAGGGCAGAATTGCAGCCCTCTGACTTGCCACTCTTTTTAAAAGTGTGTGCGCACATGCCCACTCTTATCCTGGAGAGGCAGGGACCATGCAGTCCCACCTGCTGGCTTCTCCATGGGGCCAGCCCGGGGTGGGAGATGGGAAGACAGCCTCCTGATGGCTTCTCCCTGAGGCTGACCTGGAATTGGGGCTGGCAGGGGGGAAGCGCTGGCTTCTCGCTAGAGTTGGTCTGGGATTGTGTGTGTGTGTGTGTGGCGGTGCAGGTCTCCCACTGGATTCTTGATGGGGCAGGGCTTGCGGCATGATGGCAGCAGGGGTCGTGGCCATGGTGGGAGACTGCTCCCCGGGGCCAGCCAGGGTCTGTTGGGGCCACACAGCACAGTAGGTGGCTGCTCCCTGGAGACAGTTAGTGGTGTCAGCCAGCAGCTGTTCCCCTGTGGTCTTTTGTGAGTATAATCGTCCCTGCTATTACCTCCCCTCCCTTTCCATCTAATGTGAAACTATTCACATTCCATGCACATCCCGTTGCCCTGGCCTTGCTGTAAGTTAGGATAAGAGCAAGGTGCATCCCACATTTGGTGGTCCTTGCACTTACCATTTAGTAGGAGCTTTTGAACAAACGGACTCACACTCTAACTCTGTATTTCCCCATTTGTATTTTTTTATAACTCAAACATCTCAAAGCCGAACTCCTTAGCTGCAAGTACAAATTTGATGTCAGTGATGTTTTCTGACTAAACTATAATCTTTTCATAGAGCAAGCCTTTCTATGAGCTTTAATTAAAAAAGCTAGGCAAAGGGAAAAGCTTAGATGCAATGTATCAAACATTCAGTGCTGAATGATACAGGACCCACACGGTGCAGCTACGTGGACATGTAATTTAACGTCAAAATACTACATACATCCCTGCTTGTGTTGCACATATTTTTGTGGATTTGGTCATATTCTGCTCTTGAACACCTCCACATCCTGTTTTTACTTCATCCTTTCTCTGCTCTGTTGCTACACTGAGGAATTCTGTCAATATCCATGCTTGGCCTGGTTAAATGAACAAGAGCCAGGAAGTAGCACCAGGGAGATTTATCCAGGATGAGGACAGCATAACAAGAACAATCAGATCTTCTCTCACACCTGGAATAGGGGGTTCAGATGAGCTAAGATGAGGGTGAGAGACACAATTCAGCAACTTCTAAGTACATTCCCTCCTGCAGGTCTTAGCATCTTCAACAAAGGTAAATTGAACAGCCAACTAAGGTATGTCTACACTGAAATACACGTCCAGGGGTCACACTCAGGCTCTGGTTTAACCCACCTTCCAACTACACAAAAATCATGTTAACCCAGGGATTAGACCTACGTGCCCAAACACTCTTGGGGGCACAGGGTCTAAGCCAGTAGTGTTTCTTAAACTTTTTAAGACCGAGGAACACCAAGGATTTTTTTGTTGAGGGGGGGAAAAAAAAGGGTTCAGGGGAAAGTTATTGAGGGGAAAAAAAGGGTCAGGGGGCAGTTACCGGAGGGGGGGAGGAGGGTGAGAGAGAAAAGTTGCCTGCCCCTTTAAGGTCGCCTGTCCATTTTTAATTCTGTTGTTCCATCCAACACAGTTTAAGAAACACTGGTCTAAGCCTTGGCCAGGCTGGCACCCAAAGTTCAAGTCAACTCTACCGAGATGCAGTCCCACTGTACGCATGCTCAGGGGGCCTGCCAAAAGTCCAGTATCCTCTGGACTGTCAAGTTTTCCCAAACTGGACTATAAACAAAGGGCCAGAGTGGCCACGCTTTTGGAGAGTACTAGGGAAGGCTTGGATATGGGCAGCTGGATTCAGTCTCAAAAGGACCTAACCAAGGATTATAAAACTATATAGCCACTCATGCCTTATCCTAACAAAGCCAGAGTCTGCCATCTTGAGTTCTAACCAACCCTAGGTTTATATTGCAGTGCAGACACACCCCTGGAGAGGGAAGACAAGTCATACGCTAACTGACCTGCAATTCAATCAAGAGAGAAACAGAAGATAAGATTTATCTTTTAAGTATTCTGATAGGCACCAAATGAAACAAAGGACAGATTTTTCCCTCAACTACTAAAAACAACCAAATTCTCTTCATATCCAGCTCTCGGTATTTTCTTTCTAAAATCGTGAACCCACCATCATCATCTCCTACCTATACTAATGCTCTGACAGACTTCTAATTCAGTGCTTTACCTATAATTTCTTTTATGGTTTTCTGCTGCTGTCAATACTATAATATCTGAGTATTCTCTATATGAGATTGTAGTCATCGAGTCACCAGTGGCTTTTGCATGCCTCTCTTTTTGAGGTAAACACCTTGTTCGGGATATTTTAATTTGTTTGACTAATTTGTCTCAAGGATATTTTTACTTTTC